ATGCGCTAAAAAGTAATAGTTGTCTGGGCATAAATACGCTCACAAGAGGTAAAAATATGAAACGGAAAAACCACCGAATTATATTTGATGCTTCTATCTACAACACTCCCACCCTATGGATGTTTACGAACGACTGTTACCCGTACACTTGTTCGATTCGCCTGTAGACCTTGTTCAAAAATAATCTCAATCAGTTTACTCAAGCAACTATAATTAATGTCTAACTCTTTGAATTGGAATACACTATCGTTTTTCATATATTGGACAACTTTTATATCTATATGAAAATTCCACATATGGTGAAACGAGAACCGATTTTTTAAGAAACCACATTCTAAAACTGGCAAAACCAAAAATATATTCGGGATGTTCTACTACCTATCGACTGGCGAAATGATCGACAATTAGCATTTCGGGAAAAGGGACTAAATTAAAAATGTCGCAATGAAGTTGGGTATTGGGAATTTGCTTGAAAAATGTGTACACACAGAATATGCGCGGAAATCGAGTCGGTCGAGTCAAGAGAGAGAGAGAGAGACAACTAAATGGCAAGATGGTGTAACATTTTGTTGAAAATTCAAATATTTTGGGCATTATATTTTGTGTTTCGGTTATCAATAACAGTAATAACGCTGCTAATTCGTACATATTTATGCTAGTGCATACATAGCGCATATTCATTTGAAAATATAGACTTATCAATATATCTGCTTGTATGTGACGTCGGACCAAGAAGCTGTTAACAGCATTTTGGGCCGTCCAAGAATGAGAATGAAGGAACAAGCTCGTGAATTGCAACTAATTAACAGTGTTACTGCTGTTATTGATAGCGTAACACAAAAAGTCCGTAATAATCTTCTAGCTTGAATTTTAAAATATATGTTGGACCATCTTGTCATTTAGTTGTCTCCGGTTGAGTCGTGATATTCAAATGGCGAAAGCCCGAAGAAGATTTCTAAATATAAATTCCTGTAAATAATTTTTAAATTGAGAATTAAGAATTGAAAATAACACCTACATCCTACTAAAAGTCGCAATTCAGTTGTACGAGTTAAATCTCAAGAAAAGATGGCAAAGTCACGAAACGGCGTTTTACGTCACAGCATTAACGCCCTTTTTGTACCAACCACTGTAATATGGGATTATACTCATTTTGTTTTTTTTTTCCATAATCTATGTAACACCCAAAAGAACAACTTCAGAGACCCTACAAAGTATATATATTTTTGATCAGCGCGAAATACTGAGTTGATTTCCCCATGTCTGCCCGTCTGTATGTACGTGCGGTGTGTGTTTTCGGCACTCTCCTGGTCGCAAAAATGAAGATATCAACTTTAAATTTGGTAAAAACTTTGCAAGTTTGTGCACGCAGGTTGGTACTGAAAATTGATCAAATTAGTCAAAGCAGAAGCGCGCAGAGGCGCGTAAACTGTACGCTTCTCCGTTTTCCTTCACAAAAATTTGAGAGTTTTTGCTTGCCATTCAGAAATTGTAAACGTTAGAAGGCTGAAATTTTCCATGTTTACTTTACGAAACACTCTACTCTCTATGTTCAAAAATAGAACCAATCGGCCGTATCCACACAAAGTTAAGAGTAATTAAATTCAATATTTTTCACTTTTTTGAGGTTTAACGCTTATTTATCACAAGGCAAACAAGGCAAAACGTTTAAAACTATTGTGAAGACATATTATGCCCCTAAAAATGGGTTAATTGTAAAATGAATATGGTAAGCACTGCGACCTTTTTTCTTCCTTTCCTTCTTAATAATACCAGCGATATGGGTATCAAGTAAAAGAACTCCGAGAATAGAATGCGAAAGGCATAGTGGTGGGTATGCGAAATTTAAGTTATGGACGATAATTTGAAATAAAATATTTAAGTGGTAATAGAAAAGCCGAAAATGGGAGAAAGGATGAATTAATGAAAGTAGGTTTTCAGTCTATCAGAATATGTTGTATGCACTTTACACATTCGTTTCACGTACATTCTACAAACGAGTGAGAATTTAAAATCGTGCCTCATTATGTTCTCATATGTCCTTTGATTCAGGTACACGGCCTTATATTAATTTAAAATAGCATAGTAGTACTTAATGGAAAATTGATATTGAATTAGCGATCCGACCATTATGACTTTTGAAGCTTGCGGTTTAATATTTATGCTAAGTTATTCGTAAAACCTTGATTTGTTTTTTGAGTTTAAATACCTCTTTGTAATGTATATACTAATGTTTATATTAAGAACTCGCCTAGTTCCGTGCAAATGAATGTCAAGGAAGCAAAGTGATAACAACACTGCTAATAGGAATCGCGTTTACATAAACCATACAAGAGTTCGTGCAAATCTAAATGTCACTTATTATATACGTAAGTGTTGCAAACTATTAATTTCCTAACAGAAGGAGCCCTGGCCAAACCAGCGAACGAGTCCATGGCCAAAGGGGGATTTAATTCATCACATAAGTATCAGTTTTCTCGTTGAAATTTAAAAATTGCATTGCTAACGTTTCCGAAGAAATCGCACGCTCAAGCACACACAATCGTTCAAGTTCAGTTTACCCACGCCCTATAGCAAAACCTGGGCAATGAACTTTCGCTATTATAATTACTAACGGAGAATAATACGCGACCGCTGTTAGCATCAACCCGACTTTTGGTAATCTTGAATGGAAAGCAAGTCGAGTAAAATTACATATGTACAAGACTTTTGCAATAGACATGCAATACATTTTGAATACAATTGAATTTAGGGTCGTCCATTCGAAACGAAATTAATTTAGTTATAGCTTAAAAATAGTGATTTTTTTCAAGCTCATTGCAGAAGTATGCACTTTGATCTTCTAAATTGTCATATTTTGGTGGCACGGATACACATTGTTGCAGTGACAAGAAGATACACGTTACTATGGAACAAAAAAAATGGTTTTAAAATTCGCAAGCGGAAAATGTGAATCACGAAAAGTTAAGTGAGCTACGACATGAATAATTAACGCAATTTCATGCAGTGCAAAAACTAACGGACATTAAACATGTGCATAAAAGCACAGAAATTGTTGATAGCCAGGTTATAGAGGAGGCATAGAGCTATGCATAATTTTTAATAGTAAAACGTTCACTTCATTTATTTCTACGACAAGTGACTTCTTGCAAAAAGTTAAGCCTTCGCTATAAACTATTCAAGTGCTTTCAAATTATAATACGATGTATACATAGAGAGTGTTACAAAAAAGTGGCGCCCAGGGTGAGATCCATCTCAATAGAGTTAGATGGGTTAGATGGGTTAGTGGAACTGGTTGAATCCAATCTGGATTATAAGAATATTTGATTATAAGAATATATGACTATTTTCGTATAAACGATTTTTTTATTGATTTATATGCAAATGTGTTCTCTTTTATTTTGAGTGTATACCAACGACTTCGCGAACTAGGTAAACACAGCTTGGAATTGTTGATCTTTTGGCATATTGGCAATGCCGAACCACTGTTTTTCTCAACTTGTCTACTTCTCTTTTTATTGTGTGTAGATGAGTCGAAAATTCATTATAGGATGTCCGACCTGGTACAGTATTTGACATTGGCGGGTCTAATTCTAAACAACATTGGAATCATGGTTGTGAAGGTGTGATTTAGGCTCAAACCATTTACTATTTGCTATGAATCATCGTTAAATTAGATAACACCCATTCGAGAAGAGAAAAATAATTTTGGTCGAACGTTATTTTCTAATTTACAGATAAACAATCCGAAGACCTCCGAAGCTCTTCTTTCCTTTCAGTAACTTTAAATTTGCGTTTAAATTTCTCTCCTTATTGCGCAATGAATGCAGTTAATTTTTATATTGTTTTGGGATTTGATACATAAAATATTTTTTTTTAATGTTCTTTTGGTTTACTTTTCTCATAATATTGTTAACATATATATATATTTTTTTTTTCACTTATATTCCTCGTCTTTATATTATAAATACCTAGACATTATGTATATCATATATGATGTAACATATCATATTGTCAATCGATTGAATTTATGGCTTTTATTACTTTATATTATACCTTATTTGTCTTTTTTTATTACGATACGCAAATTTTCTTTTACTTTGGTATTATCTGACTTACAAGTAAGTGACAAATTTCACAATTCATTCATTCATTCATTCATTATTGACTTATTCTTAATAGCACGATATAAAAGATTCAGTCACGATCAAATTAATTGTTTCACATGTAAAATAATTTTTCATTAAAAGCAAAAATATTCAAAAAACTTGAGAGTCTTCAACTCACGCATACGATCGAACTATCCACATGCTTATTTTTCTTGACATTATGTACCGTTATCTTTCAATATGATATTGGTGAATTTCAAAATTGCGGCTTTTTTCGAAGACTTTTGGCAATCAAAACGTGCACGTGGTTGTTGTTATAGGGGAATGCGTGACTGTGCGTTTTTTCTTTTGTTTGATAAAAACTAAAGCTGGCAGTTCCCGATAAGTTTTCTTTCCTTATTAGAAACTTGCGTGATCACTAGCTTTTAAAAGGATATCACAGCGTTAGACTTTCTTCTTTCTTACTTTTATTGGATTAAATTTTTAATTAGAAGAAATTGAATAAACTAAAAAAAGAAAACTAAGCCATAATAATAGTAAAGAAAAAAATAAAGAAAATTGAAGTCATAATGAAAGAAAGAAGTCTATAAGTTATAGGAAAGTCATAGGCCCCTTTTTAAACAAAAAAAAAAAAAAAATAAAAAACAACAAATTACTTTATTCCTTTAATTGCCCTGCTTCAAGGTCAAATATTATCTGCGAGCAAAAATTTCAAGTAGTTATTAAATTACATTCCAATGGCATCGTCACGAAGTATTAAGTCGGTCGAAACTAGCGGCCATACAAAGGTGGATAAAGAGAGTGCTTAAGCCATTATGAAAAAGCTTGAGTGCCATTTAAATTTTCATTAATAATATTTAGATTGCTTTCCATTCCAGGTGAAAGTGCACAAAAGCCTTTATCCGTGGACTATAGACAACTTTAGCATTTGTCATAGGAGAGGAGTAAATTCGCCAGTCTTTTCAACTGGGCCTAACGATGAATCAGAATGGTAAGGCGACATATTAATGCTTTTTAGATTTATTTCTAAAATATTTATTGTACTAATTCTCACATTTTTAGGCAGCTTTCGCTGATGCCTTGCGAACCCCGTCGTACATTCTATATGAAGGTATATTTATATATGAAATCCAGCAAAAAGAACGTAGTTAACGCCAAAGTTAAGTTTAATCTATTGAATTCAATAGGAGAAATAGTCTTCGTAACCGAAGAAAGGTATACACGCCCTTTTTCTTTAATAACAGAATAAAAGTAACGTTATTGCTTTTTATATTTTCATATTCCATTTTGCAGTTCTCACGTTTTCACTGTAGAAACACCTTTTACCTATATGGATGTATATGAAGACTCTTTGCTAAACGATAACCATCGGTTACTTATTAGAGATAAACTAGTAATTTCTTGTATGATTGACGAGGAATATATAGTTAATATCACTGAGCATTTGATAGTAGGAAAATATGAAGAAGACGAAGACAAGTTGAGGTTAGATTTTGGAAATTTACTCCAAACTGGAAAATTTAGCGATGTTACATTGGCCGTGGATGGCCATGAAATTCGGGCTCATAAAAATGTACTAACCGGTAAGTGGAAAAATTGAAATTGAATTAAAAAATTCTTTCGCTGAAAACTACTTAAAGACGAACGCGAAAAGTTTTTCATATGCACACATATCTTGTAGAGTAGATGATCTCGAAATGCTTTTCGTATGTACCCATAGGCTTTAATGTAAAGTAATGCAATGTAAGTAATAAAGTTTTTTGGAAATTATTTTGTCAAATATCCCCTCGTCTAATTGATCATGCCTGCTAAATGTGCCGAAATGGGATCGTAAAGCTTTTAGTTAGAATAGCATGTTTGATTCATATCATCATCCTAAGTAATTCTCTTCGCCAGAAAAGTCCAAGTTGCAAATATTTCTAAAGACTTTCTGAGGAACTATACTGGACTTGCTTTCCCTTTTTTAACACCCACAACTATGTATGGAAGATTCAAGATTAACAAATTTTCTTAATCAGCTTAAAATTCTGATTCGATTCGAGCCTTCACCAAAATTTTTGTGGCACAAAATTAAAGGTGATGTGCAAATTAAGTTTCAAAACGAAGGTAATCCAATTACAATCATTGTATCAATCTCAGGAAGTACATCCTGCAAACCTATAGGCGATATTCATTTAAATCTAACGAAGATATTTCTTAGGGCATTTGAAATTCTGTATAAAAGTCGAATGAAAACAATTTTGGAGATGTATTTTCTTCATTTCCACTAAAATTCTTGTCTGATTCATAGCTTACACGTTTTTTTTATCTTTTAAAAGCTCGCAGCAGCGTGTTTGCAGCGATGTTTGAGCACGAAATTGAAGAGCGCCAACTTAATCGTGTTGTGATAGCCGATATCAGCCATAGTGTATTAAAGGAGATGCTAACGTACATATACACGGGCAAAGTATCTTATTTAAATGACATTGCTCTCGATTTAATAACGGCAGCCGACAAGGTAATGTCATTAAATGAAGTTTTCTTTCCTGATTCGTATCTAAATATTAAAACTTCTCCTCTTCCGCAGTATGCTTTAGGAAGTCTTAAAACAATATGTGAAAATTCACTGCGCGTTGACCCTTCGATAGAAAATGCTGCCGAAATTCTAATACTGGCTGATTTACATAAAGCGGATCAGCTGAAGGCAAAAATTATAACGTTCATCAAAGCGTAAGTACTTTTACGTTTTACAAGTCCTTCATGATAAAGGATCTTATCGATATGATGAAGCACCAAACGCACCTCTTTAGGTTGCACAGTATTTTGCTTTGAAGTTTTACGTCTGCTCTTTTGTCATGCATTCCTTTTTTATCAGTGGAGACGATTTTTTCTGATTTTTGTGTGATAACTAAAAGTAGTCATCTGCTTTCCAAGTTTGTTTACTTCCGAAATTTTCATTAGACAAAAGAATATTCTTTCTTCTGCTGAAGACTTAACACTTTAAAGAAGCGTTCACTTCTAAACCATCCTATTTTTCTCTTTATGGTCTTAGCGTTCGGCCCAAATAACTCATTTTTATTTCGTGTTGTCGGATTGTTCTTCTTAAGGGGGCCTTTAACTTTGTCTTCAATTACCCGACACTTCCTGCGGCTGATCGTCGTACGCCATGCTTTCCGTAGCGTGATAACATCAGGTCATTCGGCAAGCCTTCCATAATATTCTTTTTATTCTTGGAATCACCTACCCACCGGCCCATTTCGATGCGTAAATTCCGATACAAAGTTAAAAAAATTCGAACATGAAAAATTGTCTATTATTACTATTATGACATCTACCACTGAAGGAGTGGGTTGTGCTGATTATGTTCTTTTCTAAAACCCTATAAAGTATAGATATTCTTGATCAGCGTGCGATTCTGAATTGATTAAGCCATGTCTATCCGTCTGCGTGTCTTTGGGGTATGTTGTTGGCACTCTTCTGGTTGCAAAACTGGAGATATTGACTGAAAATAGGCCAACTTGGTGAGAGCAGAAGCCCGCAGTGAAGCGTAAACTGAATGTAACTCCATTTTTTTTTAATAAAAATTTGTGGATTTTTACTCGCTACTCAAAAATTATAAAATATAGAAATGTGATAATTTCCATAGTTACTGTAGGGAACACTCTACTCTTTACGTGCAAAAGTGAGAAAAGTCGGTCGTAGTTACAAGTGATTAAATTTTATATATCTCACTTTTTTTAAGGTTTTATGCTTATTAAACATAACGCGAGGAAAACAAAATGAAGAAACGTGCGTACAGTACTTCATGCTAGTAATTTTCAAACCTTCTTAAAAGTGTACCCTTTGTACGCTTTATTATTATTATTTTTTTTTTGTTTTTCTTTGCCTTTGTGGTTTGATATAATTCTATGCGGATTGGATCTAGAATCCATTATGCGAATCTGCATTTGAAAACATATAAAATATTTATTGTAGGTTTGAGATAAGAGTCGAATAGAATTCAAATAGATGCTGAGGAAGATCCCAGTATGTGTTATATTGTATTGAGAAGAAGGTAATTTTTGTTGAAGAGGTTGAAATCGGTTTTTTTCAATGAGTGTTGACCGTGGAAATCCGTGTTTTGTGAATTTTACGTTATTTGCACGATTGTATAGAATAAACATGGCAACAAGTTCAAGTGTTGGCGTTAATCTCTCAGAATTGGTCCTTAGCAGTATGACAAAATTAATTTTATACACAAAAAATTTCCAAGTTCTTGATACATTAGCTGCTATTGTGCATCTACAAACTTTGATAATTGTTGTTAATTAAAACTAGTTCAAATACATAACTCGTGAAAATTTGATTACTTAACAACTAAAAATCAAATTAAAAATTTAAAAATTAAATAAAAATAAATAAAAAAAGATTGTCTGTGCGTAGAACAATAATAGATAATAAGCCAACAGTTTGCACTGGTGAAGCCAAGGTCACTTATGGGTTGCATTGCTAAATTGCTGCGATCAATTGAGACGGATCTATGACGACTACAACATAGCTAAGTTTCTTGTTTTTTTCTCATACGCACCTTTTTTTGTACACCACATAAAGTACGATTTAAAACTGGGAAAAATTATAATGGTCTGTTAAGAGTTAAAGTGCTATGGCTTCGCATGATACAGAATGTCGCAAAGACATAACGGACAAACTAGTGTACATACTGATTAATGAACGTACTACAAATGAAGGGCAGACAGCCGACGAGGGTGTAAGCCAGACAAATAATGCAAACTAACGGACGGACAAGAAGTATAGCAACATGCGGTTATATGCATCTGTTCGTAATTGATACCTTTTATTTATTTTATTTGTATATCTTTTTTTATCATATGTCAGCTGGGTTAGCAGGGTCAAAGTAAAAACTAGACAGCCCCAACTCTTCACACGACAACTTACCAATTGAAACATGTGTGAGCTAACGAACGATTTAAAAATATACCTACGACAAAGCTAATGCAAAGAAATTTGTACAAACTTTATATATAAGTGCACATGCACATATACCTTTAATATACCCTACCAAGTCACCATCTCTGCACAAACAACAAAAGAGCAAAGTGTAATGCATATGCACTTGCCATAAAATAGCGAGACTAATCTTCTTAAGTTAAGTTCAATGAATAAGAAACCTGTGGGTAAGGATTGACATCTGGTAGACCTGGCGCCAAAGAAGCCCTAAATTCAGAAAAGTCTTTTTTCACGTATTTAAGTTCGTTTTTTCGTCATGTAATTTAATTAAACAAGCGTTATGGTTGCGTCAGAATGAGGCATTGAAGTGTGGGATGACAAGAGGTATCACAGCTCAAGTACGTTAAGTTTATAGTTCTGGTTGTAAATGGTTAATGAATTTTTTTTTTTTCTTATCAACTAGCCAGACAAATGAAAATGAAATACGGACGTCAATTTTTATTTATTTATTTACTTCAAAATGGTTACATAAAATGTCGAGAAACTTCAAAATGGATCAAAAGCTTAAACTTTGAGCTACAACTGCGCAGTCCAAAAAGAGGGATGCAAACTAATTATAACGGTGGTAACAACAATACTAATCCAAAAAAAAAAAAATTATTTCTAACTTTCTAGCGCTTATTTAGTTATTTATGCAGCTATAATTGGACTACTAAGCATTATATTTTGTACTCTTCTTTTCCATCTCTGTTAGAATGCAAGCGGAAGGAGTTCGAAATTCGGCAAAGCTGAATACAACTTCCTCACTTTTACTAGCTTTTTTTACTCATTAAAACAAATTATGCTTTCTGTTAACTTTTTAAATCATTTCAACTAACATTCTTTGCGCAATTATGACAATTTTATGTAAACACAGACATCCATTGTTTACTTAAAATGATATACGGAAAGTCTGTTATCATTAACAATAACTACAGCTATGAATAAATTGTCATTTGTTTATCACGAAACAAAAGAAAGGAGCTGCATCATTACAACAACGTAGAGAATATATGAAAATATGTGGGCGGTGATTTATACATGAAAGACATGGAAAAGTCAATTGGATGGGAATTAACATTAGCAGACACAGATGAATGTCAAAGCAACTGGCATACTGTGGGGCAGTAAATTTCCTTTCAATTTTATGCTGGAGTTTAGCCCGTCGATCCCGTCGATACGATAGGCGCCCCACAAAAAATATATATTTCTTGGGACGTTTCGCCATGTTTGTGGCCATTTATTCTTGTACCCTTTAGAAGGGGGAAATTCTAGTCGATTAAGAAAACAGCTACTTTCAAATTGGGTTTCCTCAAGCTCGTTGTTTGCCGTGTTAACCTAGGATATTACATATCGATCAGCTTATTGCTAACTTAACCTAATCCTCTCGCCACTGACACGGAGAACACGAGATGTCGAGCCAAGACACGACATTGAGACAAATTTGTTAACGTAATCCAACCATGTAAAAAGCGTTAACATGTCCATGCAGAGGTATAATAAAGAGAATGTTGCATGTACATACGGTCTGACAAATAATTCTGTGCGCAAATGTAACTTCATTTATTACGCGGTGTTATTACTTGGGGCTATCGGAGTAATGCTGGTATTGCATTTGCCGACAAATACAAACTTTGGGAGGAAAATTTCGGAAATATTACATTTAGTGTTGAGAAAAAGTTTAGTTTGGCCAGTCACCATAAATGGTTACCATAAATATTAAGGAGATGTACGGCATACTCGACTAACGTGTTGCAAGCGTAACTATGGCAATCGATTTCTTATCGTATGGGCTACATTTGCAGCAGGAGGAATTTCTCTCCAATTTGCCACCAATATATTCCTAAAGTCTTAGCTGCATTCTACATTTGCAGAACTTAAACTTGGTAAATTGTTAGAATGAAAAGTTTGATGGGGCATATAAAATTATTTTCTATGAACTACATATGGAATTTTTTTTTTTCTGTTGTAAAGGATGAATTAAGAATATGTGATTTTTACACTTTTAAACACAAATAAATACAAACGAGAAAAGAGAACAAAAATTAAAAAAAAACTTTCTTCTTTTTATTTGGAATATAATGCATTGCATACGATTATAAGTAATGTTTCAAATATTTCTAATAATTAAATGAAAAATTTTGCTTGACTAAAAACTCAGACAAAAGGAATCTTTTTTTTTTTATTCATTTCTCCTAATTTTTTCAATTTTTCTTAATGTTGATTTATGCAGGAAATAGTGGCCTTTTTATTCTCTTATACCTGACCTGCATTGCTGCTTTCGATCTTCGACCTTATAAAGTTGTCCTCAGAGATGTCATTGGAATTTTTTTTATAACTAACTTCAGAAACGAGAAGGGGAGACAAAAATTAAAATTATATTAAAACTTAATGTAAACATTAAAATAAAACAGAAATGAAAAGCATTACACAGACGTGGTGCATAATAAAAATACTCATAAAACAGAGCGGAACGCACGAAGTGTAGACATTGTTTGAAGCCTTTATAAAGTTGTTTTTTAGCTTCTCGAATAACTAAGTATCTTAAGAAAATAAATGTTATAAAGACCATGTTGACAGAAGAACAATTTTGTTTTTATGAATTTATTTTTCCTAGCAGCAGTAGCAAATTATAGAGACCCGAAATTCATTTATAAGTTAGCTTACGACAGCAAATTTTAGCATTTTCGTTAATCAACAAAGTAAAGCGTGAGGACAAAGAGCAGAAAGCAAAGACGGCAAAAAGCA